GAATCCAGGCTGAAACACTCCTTATAGCTTAAAACTGCTCCTGATATTGGCTTTTTACAAACTTTAATATATTAAAGAGTATTGCTCTAATATATGTCTGCTGCCTCAAATATATTGTTCTAATATGAGCAAGTGTACAATTATGCGGGGTACTATAGCATAGGATAACATATGTTATATTAAAACTTAGGACATGCTTTAATATTCCTGTCTGTTCATTTCTATTTCTACGTTTTATGCTTCAAATGCATTGTGTTTGTGACCCATATTAGAGTGTCTTTGTAAGAGAGCCTTCAAGTCAACAACTTCTTGAACATATTTCTAATACAATTTTGCAACATATATAAGGTTTTGATTATGAATTTCATGTTTGATTTGGCTGCTCAAACTGTCTCATTTATAAATCCTTGATCTATGAGTGTGGAGCATTACCTCTTTTCAAGGTCATGAACATCATGAACCATCTTGAGCTGAAGAGTTCATGTATTCATTTCAGCAGTTCATGGCCAGATACTGAAACTATTTATCTTACCTGCAGTTTATTATGGAAAAAGTTTGTTTCTGTACCTGTTATGATGGATGGGCCACACAATGAGGCAAAGCACACTGAGAACTGAGCGACTGCATTTTCAGTAGCTAGTACACTGTATGTTCTTTAGCACATAGTGGAATTAAAAAAAAAAAAACAGTGTTTCCTTAAATACAGATAACCAGGGACAATTTTTAGGTTGTCATGCAATGCCTACAAAAAGAGTACCATGCTTTCTTTATTGGTTTGGAATAACATAGAGCAGTTGTAGTATGTTGTAGCCCCTGGTCTAATTACATGTTTGTGCATTTTCTAAGTGAAAATACTTCTGTACATTTTTAACATTTTAAAAAAGAAATGTGGCCTGTGCAAACGTTTGGGCACATCTGATGTTTTATATTCTCCAATATGTTAAACTCAGCAAACAAATATAAACTGCACTAAAATTTGCAGAAAAATGCAATTATTTGCCCATAAAGGATGTCTTAGGTTATTTTCACTTAGAAAATCAAGAAACATGTAATTTGACTAGGTACCAATTTTGCATACAAGTGTATGTTAAATGTTTTGAAGGATTACTTTTTGAAGAAAGCCATATCACACATATACATATTTGTGATAATAATTATAGCAGAAATATCTCGAAAATAATAATATTTGGCCACATATGTCCAAATACCTTTCAAACCACCTCTGGCCCAAAAGATGTTTGACAGTAGTAAAATTCAATTTTTAGTCTAAGACCTCCTTTGTGGATTGTTAGTGTTAGTCATACTTCAGAGGTCAGAGGACGGCAGAGCTGATAACACACCAAAAGTAACTAAAAGATAACACACTGAAAAGACTGTACAAGGATCAATCTCCAAGTGTATATCGCTGCTGTCTGAACAAAACGTCGCATCTCCATTATTGTCGTTTTTCAGTTTTTTGACCTAATCTGAAAATGCCTGCTGCCCTTTGCATTGTCTGTAAATTTCATGATGAATGGACCAAAAGAAATTACCCAAAATTACTTGTAAAAAAGTCTGGTTACACTGATTTACATTCAAAGTGAAAGTATGTTTTTTAAGGTTTTGTTCTGACAGCAGCGATACACGTTTGATATTCAGTTAACCCCTTGGGCCCACCAGCAGGCCCAAGGTTTTACTACACACTTCCAGTTTGCATTGAAGTCCTTGTAGTTACTGAATAGTAAGCCTTAGTATGTAATAAGTCTGGGGATAAAATATATATTAATATCTTTTAATATTAATACATATTACTTAAGACATTAAAAGTAGTATTTTTTATGTTTGAAAGGTCTTAAATGCACTGACGTTAATTTTTTAAAATTGTGCAGCGACCCTGTTTGAGGGCAGCCATTGAATTTTTCATATTACTGCCATTACAGAGTGGTTGAACACATTTATAGGAAGGCTATACGTTCGCTTTTCCACCTGACAGGGTGGTGTAGTGATGGGGGATAGAAGGACCTCCTTTGCTCTGCTAAACCTTGTATGTGCCGGCTGTGCCCTTTGGGTGTTGGATGACTCACTCATTTCGCATTGTATTTTTTCTTATTGCTGGTTCTCCTGGGATTGAATATCAGTATCCTCTCTAAATGGCCTGTAACATAACACAGTACCCACCAGTTATAAAGACTTTATATGAATGGCCATATGGGAAACACTGTATGTTCTTCAAAGATATTCTAAGAACACTGTGTAAGATTAGTCCTTATAGTCATCATTATCCAGTGTGCAATCTGGCCTGTAGCATCGAGATGCTGTTGATTGTATATTTTTGTCTACATAATCGGTTTAAGTGAACTGCAGTTAGTGAACTAGCTAGCACACTATGAAGCCTTGTTTTGAAGTGTTGTTAAGTTCAAGTTGATATTTTGTGGAATTCTATTGTGATCTGAAGTATTTAAACAGCTTTTTCTTTTTTGACAGCTTCTTCAGTTATTATTTGTGCAAACCTGGCTATTTGCTTGTTGTAATTTAATGCTAACCAGGTAGCCGACATGGGCGAGCTACTATTAATGGCAGTTTGTTTACAACTTTACAGCAGGTAAATGTACTGAATGAAACAGGTAAGACTTAACATGCATACTGTCTCAGAGAAGTTTACAGGGACACAAAATGCTAAATTTGAATAATAAGGTGGACAGAAATGCCCATTGTCCGTGATGCACTTTGTTGCATTTTACACCTCTATAACTGAGTTAACTTTTCAAACAATGTAGTCGCCAAGCACTGATTACATGCCTGGATGCTGATTTTCTGACTCAGGTTTGTTGGGAATACAACCAAATCTCTTCTCCTAAAGTACTAAAAACACTCACATCCATTTTGGCCAAGTTTGCTTTACTGAGAGAGATATGTTACTCACACTCACACTCTCACTGCCTTTCAGGACACTGCTTGTTGCCCTTGTGAGATAAATGCATTTACATGTACTTTTATAAAACATAATTAAATATACACTTAAATATATTATTCTGAACTAAGAACTAAACACACACACACAAAACCCCATTTCCAAAAAAGTTGGGATGCTGTGCAAAATGTAAATAAAAACAAAATGCAATGATGTGCAAATCATTTAAACCCTATATTTCATTGAAAATAGTACAAAGACAACATATCAAAGTCAAAACTGAGAAATGTCATTGTTTTTTTGAAAAATATAGGTCCATTTTGAATTAGATGCCAACAACACATTCCATAAATGTTGGGACAGGGGCAACAAAAGGCTGGTAAAGTTGTGTAATGCTAAAAAAATGCCTGGTGGTTGATTGGCAAGAGGTCAGTAACCTGATTGGGTATAAAAAGAGCATCCCAGAGAGGCTGAGTCTTTCAGAAGTAAAGATGAGGAGGGGTTCACCGCTCTGTGAAAGACTCTGTGGGCAAATAGTGCAACAATTCAAGAATAATGTTTCTCAATGTAAAATAGCAAAGAACTTTTGCTTTTCATTAGCTACGGTACATAATATCATTAAAAGATTCAGAGAATCTGGAGAAATCTCTGTATGCAAGGGACAAGACCAAAAACCAGTATTTTCTGGCCATGATCTTTGGGCCCTCAGGCGGCACTGCATTAAAAACAGATATGATTCTGTAGTGGAAATCACTGCATGGGTTCAGGAACACTTCTGAAAACCACTGTCTGTGAAAACAGTTTATCACTTCATCCACAAATGCCAGTTAAAACTTTAAAACACAAAGATTAAACCATATATAAACAGAATCCAGAAATGCTACCACCTTCTCTGGCCCTGATCTCATTTAAATGGACTGAGGAGAAGTGGAAAAATGTCCTGTGGTCCGACGAATCAACATCTGAAATTCTTTTTGGAAATCATGGACACTGTGTCTCCGGGCTAAAGACCACTCAGCTTGTTATCAGTGCACAGTTCAAAAGCCAGTATTCATGATGGTATAGAGGTGCATTAGTGCACATGGCATGGGTGACGTGCACATCTGTGAAGGCACCAATAATGCTGAACCATACATAAATGTTTTGACAACATATGCTGCCATCCAGACAACTTTTTCCAGTCTTTTTCAGGGAAGGCCTTGCTTATTTCAGCAAAACAATGTCAAACCACATTCTGCATGTATTACAACACCATGGCTCAGTATTAAAAGAGTCCAGGTGTTCAAGTCCAGACCTGTCACCACTGATGACATTTGGTACATTATAAAATGAAAAATACGACAAAGGAGACCCTGAACTGATGAGCAGCTGAAATCCTATGTTAAGCAAAAATGGGAAAACATTTTACCTTCAAAACTACAGCGATTGGTCTCCTCAGTTCCCAAAGCTTAAAGAGTGTCGTTGGCACCAAATTCAAAATGGGCATATATTTTTCAAAAAACAATAAAATTTCTCAGTTTCAACATTTGATTTGTTGTCTTTGTACTATTTTCAATGAAATTTAGGGTTAAAATGATTTGCACATCATTGCATTTTGTTTTTATTTACATTTTGTACAGTCCCAACTTTTTTTGGAAATGGGGTTGTATATATTTTAGAGTGTACCAATACCCATATTTGATTGCTAATTAGGTTGATTTATTTTGCAATTAAGATGTACTAAAGTATATTTTAAAAGTCATTACTTTTGGCAACTAGTAGCTATGGCATGATTTACACTGACACCATAATTTACAGCTCACATTCGATCATCCAGTGCAGTCGCCGCTTTAAGCCACTTGGTTGGACTGGCATGCAGTAAACATCACTCCATCCGCAGGTTACAGGACAGAAGTTCTTCAGGACACGGTTCCGGTGTTTCAGACCGAAAGAAAAGAACAGCTAAAACGTCTCACTGTTGATTTTATATTGTGAACTTCAGCGTTTGTTTTCCGGTTCCCGCTTGGTGAGTTCCTTTGAAAAATACCACAACCCTCCTCCTCTTCACGGAATGAACATGATAGGCTGTTTTTATTTATTCCTCCCAAGTCGGTCCAAACCTAAGATATCTTCCAGCCAGGCAGCGTGTTTCTCATTCTAGCTCAGCCTGACCTGGAAAACGAGGAGCTCCGCGCCAAAACTGAACTCCGTTTGAAAGCATATTAATATTAAACAGTATTTAAGCTACGTGTATGATATGCAGATGGATGTCTCAGACAGAGCGAGGAGAAACTTAAACAGTAGTGAGAAAGAAACGGTAAGTCTGTTGTTGAGAGACTGATTTGTACACTCTGGAGCTTTAGATAACCTATCTGTAACTCCTGTTTAAGCGAGCAGCAACTGTGCTGGGCATTTAAAAGCAGACGTGTGGACAGTTAAGATAGTTTGGATACAGTTTTGAAATAAACCGACTTTTTAGTTGTCATTCAGATGACAACCTTTTGAGTATTTGAACTTAAAATGATAGTGAGAGACTCCCGCTAGCTCGTGTACCTGCACTAATCTGTTAACATGACATTATTAACTCTAGCATACAGTTATTTATTTTGAACGTGATTAGCATTCTTTGCTAACTAGGTTAACTAGGTAACAATTATTTTTACGTATGCTAATAAAAGTTAACGTTACATTTCACTCAACCGTTTTTATCACCATGTGCGAACCGAACGAGGTTCCTGACTTTTTCCTGCTGAAGGCTAACTTTTTGAGGAAAAGTAGAAATAAAGTCGTACAACCTGCTCGAATATATTTTTTATCGAGGACCACCGATTTTGAGGCATTGTTTAAATACATGGGCACTGCTTTTGTATCTGTATAATGAATACTTTACAGACATCTATGATGAGTGAGGTATATATTATAATAATATATATTATATATAGGCAGTATAGCATCCCTGTCAATCTGTCACTCACTACTGCAGAGTGCAATGTCTTTAATCATTTTATGTATTTTCTGCTCATTTTCCTTCCCACACATGTGGTCCTGAAGGCTTAGTTTATTATACAGGGAAACAATATCAGCCTTTCAAAAGGTAATTCTACTGATTTCTCAGAATTTCAAACTGTTAAGATGCAAACAAACCTATTGAGAGTGGTTCGATGTGAAATGGGCTGTAATAGAGAAACTTACCAGGACAGAATTATTCACAGTGGTGTGGAAGGGAACCAGACGTCCACAGCATTAAAGCCTATAAAGCTACCTCACAGAAAGCTGAAATGCTGAACCATGAAATGAGTACAAATATGTTGGCTAATGCCTGAGATATTGTTTTACGATAGATATTATTTTGGCATAAAACACATTTTTGCAGGATGTTGTGAGGCAAAACATTCCCCGAAGAAAACTTTTATCTTTTTTTTTTTATTTGTATTATTTTCCCCAGTGTTTTCCTGTTATCAACCTTCCATATAAAACAGGATGTGTAGGTTCACTGGTCATTTTAGATAGTAAATAAAATATTTGCATTGTGGATGTTGAGACCCCTGGTAAACTTCTCTACAATGCATAAGTTCTCATCAAAACACTCTGAATGACTTTGTTTACATCTCAGCTACTGAGCAATGCAGACATTTTAATATAGTTTATTTGTCATAGCAGAAAGTCTCAAATTCTAAAAGGAGAAATTCATCTGTAAGGCTTACAGTGCTATTACTAAAATTAATGTGCATATATGGAAAGAAAATAATGTGCCATTAGAATGTGATGGTAGTTTACTTTAATGTTCCCAGTAATGACTGTTTACACTATTGTAATTAGATCAAAAGATGTTTATATGGATGGTAACACCTTAATTGGAGTGGTCCTTTGTAGATGATTAATAAACACTTAACAGAGTACCAGTAACACATCAACAACATATCAGTGAAGTAGCAGTAGTGAAGCATCTTAATACATTGAGGTAAATATCTTGAAGATCTACTGTTGATATATTACTTACTTTAAATAGATGTATTGTTAATATGTTACTTCCATTACGCTAAACTTAACCTTACCTAAAACCTAATCCTAACCCTCATATGTTTTTGATATGTTACTGAGAGTTTGTTGAGTGTTTGTTTCATCTAAAAAGGACCACTCAAAATAAAGTGTCACCATATGGATTACCCTCACTGTTCATACACATAATTAATTCATGTTGCCTGGTACATTATTCGGCAGTTACCCAGAATAAATATAAATAATTTATCCCCCACTGTAAACTAGTGTCTAAATCCATAGGAGAAGTAATCCTAATGCATTAGTGCTGGGCGAAGCTTCACAAATAATTCTCAGACCTATGCATTGTTTGTGTGTACATTGCCATTGCCATTGCAGGTTTCCCTTCACCACACTGTGTGCAATTATTTGTTATGCTTTGTGGTATTTGTGGAATTCAGAAGGCTTGGTAAGAGTAGGTACCAGGTGTTTGATGCGTGGGCTTTAGCTTGTGTTGACAGCGTCTCTCTTGACAGGTTCTAATAAGGCGCGCTTAGTATGCATGATTACACTAAGTATGTATGTGAGCTCCGGAGCTTCACCTAATGAGGTTTAACACGTTTCCTTAAGCACTTGATGAAGTGTTTTTGTAAGTGGGCTACTGTTACGCCAACTGTCAGTTTGACTGATATCGCCGGTGCCCCTTGTCCCCCTAAACGCAGCATAACTTTTCTTGGGGTTTTCTGCTATCTAGAACAACTGTGAAACCACAACCCTTAAGAAGGACCTTCTCAGAATTACCACCTTTACGTCCACCATGGTCCTGTTGTTGGGCTGTTAGCTTTGGAATAATGTTCTGAGCTCTTTGCAATTGGTGTGCCTTACCATCTTATAGAAATGAATTATATTGGCTCTGTGTTTTTCTCCAAGAGACGATTGAACCTGGGCGAGCAGTCAGACTCAGAGGCATGTTCAAGGCATTCTTTACATCAAACGTAAATTACATGTAAAATGACAGGTGTGAACCTGTGATGCTCATAAAATAGGCCAATAAGGAGATCAAACTCCCCTACTTATAGATAAATCTGTACAGAATGCACTACCAGTAGGTGGCACTGTCTTTTTGGTAGGACCTCAAAAAACTTATCTTGTTAGCAACAATTAAAATAAATAAAATAAATATTTGCTAACATGCAGCGTGAAATCTGTAACTGCTATATATTGGAACACTGGACACTTTTGAAAACTGTTACTAAATTATTAATATACTGTTTTTACACTGACACATTGGAATGTCAGCCATCTTGACAATGAGCAACATGACAAAATGTATCATTATTGTCATTAATTACGTCACAAAATGCTTTTCTGAGCATATCATGGATATCGTCAGGACTTCCCAGCTGCATGTTTGTGCGATCCAAGTCTGTTCCAACTTAGCAGATGTCAGAAAAAATCAATATCATGACTTATTGTGTATTGCAAAAACGTCTTGAAATATTATGATTACATTTTTGTAATATCATTTTACTATTCAGCTCTGGTTTAAGTTGCGTAGGAAACGATAAGTTTGTACCCAGAATTAAAGTTAATTTAATTTATAAAAGGATTATGTGAACTCTTATATATGTACAGAAGCCCTTAAAGGCCTTGGATTCGCTTGCGTTTTTTTCTTTGTTTTTCCATGATGATGGAATTATTATTTTCATTTGTTTTCTCAATATATCATCATCACAACATAACAAATGTTATTTTCTCAAGATCTTGAGATGATGACATAATGAATCATGTCTTGATAAAACAGTATTCATTATGTTGTGATAATGACATACGTAACTTGAGATCTCGAGAAACAAGAATTATTTTGCCATGATAGTGGCATAAAGTGTCCCTTTAGGGCTTCCATTTGTATGTGTGAAAGCTTTTACTTTTTTTAACTTTTGTATACTTGAATATGTTTAAACTTTTAGAAAAGTTTTAAAACTTAGATGCTTTTAAGTTGATTTGGCAGTAGAAAGCTTTCTGTTAAGTAGCTGGGGTTGGTAACACCAACATAACAGTGTAAAATTTAGTTTAATAGTAGATTTATTAATCTCAGGGAAAAATGTACACGGGACAAAACATATTGACTCTGGAGTATTTTTGGTTACCACAGGACAATTTTTAAAAATGGCATTCATTGTTCTCGTAGAGAAAATCTGCTTAGACCTGGAGTTCCTAATAAGGACATCATGCCAAATACAGAATCCAACTGCAGAGGTCTATACTGATATTATTTAAGTTTCTGCTGTTTATTTGGGTTTAAGAAGTGTGACAGCTGAGAATAATCATATCTGTCAGTAAAGCACTGTTCAACTAAAACTTGAAACTATAAAATGAAAATACAAATATAAAACTTGAAACTATAAAATGAAAATATAAATATAAAATTACTTTGGCTGATTTTATCAGTTATTGTCATTTTTAGTTTCATTAGTCTGTATCAGTTGGGCACTAGTCATTGCTGATTCTCCTCGGCAGTCAATCACCAATTGCGTGCACATGCATGCACGAACAGGTCATTAAACGTTCATCAACACCTTAAAAAATACAAATCAGTTCTCATGATGTGTGTTTAGCACACCGTATTTAAAAATGACTTGTTCTGACAAATGCAGTAAAAACGGGAATGGCCTTGTCAGTAATGTTATGTAACTGTAACGCCACCAGTGAAGAAATCTTGGAACAAAACAAACACACAAGCCTGATCAGTTCTGATGAGGTAAACTGTATTGTGTCTACAAATTGGTCCTGTCTGACAACTTCACCATGAAGGTTTGCAATTAGTGACTTTAATTTTTATTTCTTTGATAACACTTTGAGCTACCCAAACACGGTTTCACGCGTTTAATGCATTCTAAAATGTTGTGACACAATTCATAACATAAGACAGCAAGGGAAGATATAGCAACAGCCAAGTTGGACAAGTCTCTTGCCAAAATGGTTTGCTCAGGTAAATATATACTCCAACTGCCACTTTATTAAGTACACCTACCTTGTATCTACACTCATTGTCTGTTTCAGGTCCATTTACCATATATCTGTCTGTCATTTATCTTTCGTCTTCTCTTAGTCCTTTATCAGTGGTCACAGGATGCTGCCCACACAACGTTGGTTGGATGTTTTTGTTTGGTGGACTCTTCTTAGTCAGTGACACTGAAGTGTTTTAAACTCCAGCAGCACTGTTGTGTCTGATCCACTTATACCAGCGCAACACACACTAACACACCACCACCACGTACATGTAACTGCAGTGCTAAGAATCAGCCACCACCCAAATAATACCTGCTCTGTCGAGGT